TTTTGTCACTACCTTTGGTGTAAATGCTCATACAGTAAGGACTAGTAATAGGAATTCTGGGTTTCTTTTTCGTTTTTAATATCTAAAATTTGCTTCTGTTTAAACCTTAGCCCAAATTTGCAATAAAGCGTAAAGTAAAAATGGCAAATCCCTCAGAAAAAGCCAATGGGAAGGTGGACCATTTTAATTTCTTGTAACATTTAAACAGATTGATTGTCGCCATATCCTAAAAATGAGCATCTACCTTCAGGGAAAGCTGTAAGTTTGCTGCTGATATTCTGTCCTTTTTGAGTACAACAAAGGAATTTTTCCCGACATAACCACACATATATCTGCACATAACTTTTACCACAGAGCATAGTGATACTCTGCAGGGCTTTCGTGGAGTATAATAATAATAAAAATACTCTGTTTACATGCACTTTCATTATTTTGTAGCAGGAAAACTGAAGCAATATAAATTCATTTTTATAGTGGTTGGTGTCAGTTAATACATTGTTCTTCCAGAAGTAATGTATTGTAATATAAATTTCCCATTAAGTCAGTGTAGAACAACGTTTAAGTGACACTATTTGTGAATAACAATTTATTTGTGACTGTGACATAATTTAATGCAAATATATCGCTCTAAAATGAATTGATCTGATGTCAGATTGATGGTTTGTACCTTTGTTATGCATAGTATTTATAGAAGTCCACCATCTCACATGCATATAGAAGAAAAGATTATCAGCTATTCACTATATGAACATATAGCTTCATTAAAAGGCTTTGGAGATGCATGTAAATCATGACAGAAGAGCTTGTGTTGTTTGCCCTATAAAACCTTGCTGAGATTCCATTTGAATTTATTTCATGTTCCTTTTATATATATGTGCATTTTATATCTGTATACTTTTTTATAGGATTTTTTTTCTTTGCTTAAGTTCCAAATCTCTTCTGAAACCCATGTAGTTAAACCCACCTAAATAATTTCACTTCTTCAGATATGTATAAAGCCTGACTCGTTGGAAGTTTAGCATAGAATAATGATGGGAAGGAAAGTGTATTTACTGTTGCTGTCACTGAGACGTGGTGGGTTCACAGATGGAAAGCAGATGGAAAGAAAATCAATGGGGCCAGAATCTTTTTAAAGAGAGGGTGCAGAGGCCAAAAGCTCAGAGTCCAACTCTTCTAGAAGCTACTTATACTTTTTGAATTATTCAGATACCTAGCCAACGACAGAAAATGTTAATTAATATACTTCACCTTAATATACACTTGTAGTCTTGAGTGTTTTTTGATTTAAATGTAAACTGTCTGTAAGTCCAAAGGGAAGAGCGAGAGCTTGTCTAGAAGAATGGGAGCTGAGAAGGCAGCAAAGAGGTGCTGTGGTGAGCGATGAGGCTTTTCAAGATGCTCACACAAGCCTGAAAAAAGTCTTTTGGGCTGTTTGTGAGGAGGTTTCTGAAAGCTATTATCAACACAAGGATGACATTTATCTGGCTGTTCTTTACCTGTGTCCTTGCTAAACATATAAACAGAAGACTCTTAACACTGTTTTGGAAAGATGAAGTTTAAGGTATTTCTGAAGTCTTTAGTCTTGCTGTAAGTCACAGGGAATATACAGCAATGGCTGCCTACAAGGAGAAATGCAGTTTGAGTCTTCAAGGCAGTGTTACTGGCAGGTTACCTTGCTGTTCTTTTGTTTGTGGTTTTTGTTTGTTTGGGGAATTTTTTACTAATTTTGGCCCTTTTAAAATTTCTCTTTGTAACTAATTCTGATCTGAGAACAAAGACATAAAAACACTAATGAGGATGTGTAAGAGCCCAGGACTGGAGCAATAAGCTCAACCAGGAGTTCTACTTTTAAAAGTATAAAAGGCTCAAAAAAATTTGCCCACCAAATATTTTGAAGAGCACTTGGTCCTTTAATACCTTGAGGCAGCGTAAAGAGATGACACAGCACATATTTTCCAGGAGATACTTTTACTGATAACTTTAGAAAATAAGGGAACTTGGCAAAAGTTTAAAGGGTAATGTGCGACCAAAACAGAGTATTCCACAAACGTATGACTTAGCACATGCCAACCCATACAACTTAGCAAAATCCAACCCATTCGGTCCCAAGTCACCCAAAATATTAAGAAAGGAGATTAGGAGAAGGAGAAGAACAAGAAGGAGTAAAGAAAGAGAGAGAAAAGAGATTAAGATAAGATCATAGCTACCACCAGAGTCCTGTGCAAGTCAAGGTGCCACGGAGCAGGTGGCAGGTCTCAAGCAAATGGTGGCCATGTGCTGCTATTTTTATGTGCTTTGACCCTCTGTGGCCACCCCTCCCAGGTGTGACTTCTGACCCACTGGCCACTCTGGGGCTCCAGGGTGGGCTGAGGGGTGGTGCTCCCACTATGTGAACCCATCTAAGGCTGGGTTAGGGGTTCCTGTGCGCTGTGCTCCTGGGCTGCCTTTGACTGACAGCTGATCCAGGGTTACCCCAGAGGTCTGCCAGGGGCTGACATGTGGGATACAGCATTACCTCACCTCTGTGAGATTCAACCTGTCTCTTCCCTCCACAAGCACACACTTGAGTTGGTTCCGACCTAATAATACAATAATCCTGTGTCTCACACGATGATAAGGCATTATTTTGACTAACCTGAAGATACTGTGTTCTTAAAGCAAATTCTCTTGCTCCTGCTTTTCTCTTTTCTCGCTTCTCTTTACCCCTTTGGTAAAGCAGTGCAATTTAAAGGCATTTTTACTGTGGTCGAACTGAAAATGGAAAGGAAAAAATTAATTTCGGACTATCCAAATGTGTCCTTCAAACTGTATTCCTTTTTCTAGGCACTTGAACTTTTCTTTGCTTCTCTGTTTTAATTCCAGTTGAACTCTCAAATAACTTGGACTGATCCCAAGCTTCATTTTTATGAATTTGTGGGGATGGGTGAGGTTTGTGGTAATTGCTGTTCTCTTTTTTTACATGCTCGCCTTCTTTTACTTTCTGACCTTATTTTAACTGGGATTCCCAGCAAGCTGCTCCTTGCTGTGCTAGGTTCTGTTCTTGTACCCTTCCCATGCCAGTGAGAAGAGAAGTATGAAACTAGCTGGGATCATGCAGTTCCAGTCACTTTAACATTGCTGCTACTGCCTCAAGTATCAAATTTTATATTGGAGGAGAAGAAAACACAGTCATGGAATGTGATGAGCCTAGAGGCATCTCCTACTTTGGTGTTTGAACAGAAGGTGTAGGAGGCTTTATGCAGCCCTCAGATATAGAATCCTGCACTCAGTTTCAACTGAATACGAAACTTTTTTTTTTTAGTATTTGGCATGTTTTTGAGCAATCTTTTTACCTCACATACTTTGATGTGCTTTAATGTCAAATTTCATATTCTGTGTAGGCCTTGATGTGTATGCATGTTCTTTCCCAAACACAGATATACATGTGCACACACAGACATGTGAATGTGTCTTCCAAGGAAAATGTCATGTGCGTCAGAGTATATTCATACCTCTTTTGAGATGTAAGGAAAAACAGTAGAGCATTCCCATGAAAGTGTTACTTACAGCAGGTCTCTCAATGACATGAAGCACACAGAGGGGCTGTCATGGCATGTCAGCCTTCATCCATAGCCTAGTCTATATGGAGACACTGAAGCAAAGCACCAGCCTGTGATTTTAGTTACCTTCTCCTAAGTCTTCATTTGACGGGTAGATAAACAGGTTCTATGAAGGTCTCATCTGTTTACTTCTGGGCTTTTTTGACAGCATGAATTTATTATTAATGTACCAAATTATGTTGTTTGTACCAAGGGTCAGATCATCATTTATAGCTCGCATGTAGACTGAAATAAATCCTACTGTTGGGACAGACCACTCCTTTCTGCTGCTAGCACACTGCCTGACACTTTCCTTGATCCAGTAGGTTTTAATTTATTTTTACTCTGTGCAAAACTTTAGTCTGCTTTGATGATGAATACCCAAGAAGGGGAGATAAATATATGTAAATAAATTAAATAGAGGTAACATTTTTGATTGAAAGACTGCAAATTTGGGCAACTTTTTCTCTTTGGGGGGGAGGAGGATTTTTGTGGTTGAAATTTCTTCAGGCACTCTCTTATCCTCATCCCCTTCTTTCAGCATGTATTTGTTCAATCTAGATGAACTGCCGTGTTAAAAAGGAATCATATGTGTAGGCAAAAGTATCTTGTAAGCTGTAATGCAAGATAACTATGCACTTCTGCCTGGTGTTGATGGGATTACCAGGTGCTGTGAATCACTTGGGCAAAGAGGCCTGAGGTGACATATCAGACTTGTTATTACACCAGGGATATTGGTTCCATTTAAAATAAGAAAGTAGGGTCATGTTAGTGCGGTTCAGTTCAAAGCTTTGAAAACATCTCTTATTGGAAAGATTTGAAGTAAGCAGTCTTGATCCTTCTGCAGCATAAAGAGGTCAGCGGCTGAAAGAAGTGGCAGCTGAACTGGTGTGTTTGACCCATGTCCAGCCCTCTGTTTAAATCAGGATTTCTTTTAAGACAACAAATCATAAGAAGGGATGATTGAGAACTATTTTATAAGAATATCTCTCCTTTGGAAGAAGCTGTATAGCAGAAACTCTTCCTTGCCTTTGATTTTTCTCTTTGAAAGAAATTTAAAACCATGTAGTCCTTGTCCTAAGATATGCTTATTACAGAGTTCAGTGATGTTTTCTGAAGTTGTAATCTGGCTTGAACTGTTTCCCCTGGCTATACTACAAGACAATTTGACTTTGTATGAAGCTCTGAAAACTGTATATGCAGATGATGTTAACGTTTCAACTTCATGCTCTCTGCACTGCAAATGACAAAAAACACTTTGAAGTGCTTTTTCATACTCTCTACCACTGCCTTTTGCATGCAATGAATATTAATAAAAATAGACCTGCGTTCACTTTTGGTTTCAATAGGATGTTCTGTCATCTCTTTAGTTTTTCTGTCTCTTGAATTTCCTATTTTTAAAGGTTTTTATTTTGTTTGTAGTACCAGGCCCTATACCTGCCAAATCAGTGAAAGGAACTCCTTTTGAAGATAAGATCTTCCTCAACTGGAAGGAACCTGTGGATCCAAATGGCATCATTACTCAGTATGAGGTAATCATTAAACACCTAATAAGCACAGGATGGGACTAGGGAGGTGCATCAAGAGAGATGGCTGACAGTGGGTGTTTATGCTCTTGTAGGCAACTATTCAATGATATGCTCCTTTCATTTACAGAATACATGATTTTGTGTAGTGATTAGATATTCAAAATTCGTAATTATGGTGCATATGTTGTTCGCTGTCCAGCCCTGTCAAGTGCCTTTGGCATGTGAGTATAAGTGCCTTAAAAATCTTGTATTGTTGATATACACTGTTCCAAAGCCATAACAGCCATGATCTGTGAAATCTTCTTGTTGGGAGAGAAGGTTATGTGAAAAGTAAGGTGGTTATTAAATTTGAAGCCATGTTTTTTTAGCTTTGTTAGCTCTTCAGATATCACCCTTCAAGGAAATTTCCATGTATGTTCTGTTTAAAGTGTACTTAATATATGATCCTTCTGGGGACCTGCACAGTAGGTTAGCAGGAAACAGTAGCTGATTTGAGCAACAAACACTACGGTCTCCAGCACTCCCTTTTTAAAGGAACAGAAGGTATACCTTTGTTTTCTAGTGAATTACAGAAAGGCAAATCAACTAAGCTAACAAAACCCCATAAATATTTTGTTTATTTATTTATTGATGCTAAGAAAGTTCTTTAACCCAGGTGGGCAGCTCAACCCCACTCAGCTGTTCACTCACTTCCCTGCAGTGGGATGGGGGTAGAATTGAAAAGAGCAAAAGTGCAAGCTTTCGTATTTTAATCACAAATCCAAAACACAGCACCACATGAACCGTGATGAATAAAATTAATCTATCCCAGTCAAAACTAGTACATCAAGATATCATATCTAGCTTTAAAAATATTAGCTTGGTTTGAATAGCATATAAATATGATTATTAGAAGGGGAGAGGGAAAAGTATCACAGGACGTGAAAAATAAAGGGCATTAGTGGAAATGGAGAAGGTGGAGAGGTGTCCAAAATTTAATGTAACAGTGAAATTTTCCATACGTGAACGATTATCACAGAGAAAGAGAGATGAAGGGCACCTGCACAGCTTTTCAAGTGAAGCAGAGTCTTCAATAATACACATCAAGTTCTCACTGGTTTAGTGGTGGCCTTATCATTGTAGGATTAATGGAACTGATGGTCTTAAAGATCCTTTTCAGCCTAAATGATTCTATGATTCTGTGGTATCCCCAAGGTAGACGGGTAGCTGTATGAGCATGTGTCTTTTGTTTCCACTCCAGCCAAGCTAACCTAATCCCCTTGTGCCAAAACTTGTAACAGTTGTTACTAAAATAATGGTTTTCACAGGTCAGCTATAGCAGTATACAGTCGTTTGATCCTGCAGTTCCAGTTGCAGGACCTCCACAAACCGTGTCGAAGCTGTGGAACAGCACACACCACGTCTTCTCACATTTGCACCCCGGTACTACTTACCAGTTCTTTATACGTGCAAGCACTGTCAAAGGGTTTGGACCAGCAACTACAATCAATGTAACAACCAACATCTCAGGTAAAAAGCAAGCAACAACATAAAATAAAAACAGCGAAGGAGAGAGAAGAAAATGTATTGTGAATATTTGACCGTGAAAATTTGTGAAATGCTAAAGAAACCCCCCAGAAAATCCTACTGTGTTGTTAAATTATATTACTAAGAATGTTTTAGAGTGTGTTTGCCACACAGTAGTGTAAGTTCAGGGATAAATCCTTGTATGAAGTGGAAATTGCATAGCTGTAGTTGTTAACTGTTCAGGGTTTTTTTATGTAATCTAGTACTTTCATCTAATAATTTTGAACTGCTGTATAAACCTTAACTAATTAACCCTTCCAGCACTCCATAGGTCACTAAAAACTGTATTTGTTTTGCATATTAATAAAGTCATATACAGAAAATTAACTGACTCTCTGAGGGTGTCACCACTTAGGAACATGCAGCTATAACATAATCGGGGCAGTTGGGACAAAGTGGGAACTTCTTTTGCCAGATTTATATAGCTCTACTTCCTTGTGCCTTTATTCACTTATTTTAGTGCACCAAGATTGACGTTATTTGTCTTAATAATGCACTGCAAATTCTAGAAGACAGTAATGTCAAATGGAATGCTTTAATATTTTTATTTTCTTAAATTTCATTGTTATTCTCACAAAATAAGATAGTGGCTTATGCATTTGATAGCAGAAAATAAGTCAATGCTATATTTAGAGAGACTGTTGATTTTGTGACGTGGTGACTTCAGAGCTTGGCAGAGATCAAAGAAATCAGTCATTTAGAAATTTAAACAGCACAAAGCAGCTATTTTCCTTATTATCTGCCATAATGACACTTAGATTGTCCTGTAAAGGGAAGTTAATAATGTATCAGAATGCACCTATGATTTTTATGGGAAACTACTCATGTAGTCTCCTCACCCAGTTCCTGAAAACATACACAAAAATCAAAATGCAAGAAACTTCAAGGCAGAACTCCTTGAATTATGTATCAAGTTAAATGCTGTAGTTGTCATAGTTAAGTGGAACAGCTTGTTGAATTCCACCCCAGCACATAACCACTAGCATTCCTCACTCCCCAGTCCCTTCAAAAGAACCCAACCAAGGCACCAAAAAACCCCAAATGATGTGTTCTGTTCTGTTTATGTAGCTGTTAGGTTGTTTTGAAGTCTGATATTTTACTCAAGTTGTTTTAAGGTCCTTATGATTCTTTACAACAATATCCTGTGGATATTTCAGTATTTTGAGAAATAAGTGCTTCAACATGTTTGGATTATTTAGGACTACAATGTGTTCAGGCTTCTTCAGATATGCCTTCTTTTTCCCCACAGAAATTGGAGGAATTTTGTCCAGAACCCAGTATAGCACACTTTCTAGACACAGTATGGATCTGTTAGTTGGCAAGATGTGGTTTTTACTAGGAAAGCTTAAAGGCAGACTGTGAAACCCCTCGTATCTGAATTTCAGCCTTTTTTTTTTCATCTTGCTTTATGCTGAAGTGTTGTCTAGTTTCGCTCTGCATAGCTGATACTTTATATGAAGCAATGCATGCTCAGAAAATGCTAGCTTTAGTTTAGTGAGGAGTGAAATTATTCCTTTTAGTCAAGCTTACAAGTGGTTGCTGTGATTCTAGTGAACATGGTGTAAACAGTAATTTTAAAATTTACATTAAATAAACATTAATTCCATAAAAAAGTATTTCCTGAAATAAGAGCAGATTTTGTGTTCATCTAGGATCTGGGACTAATGAAGCAAGACTTTTAATCTTTCAGTACTCTTTTATCAATTGATATATTTTTGTAAAATTATTATGATTTAAGTGATTGACAACCTGCTAGAAAACATTGTTTTGTGAAATTTCATTTTGAAATATACCAGCATCATTAATGATTTTATAACAATACAGCCACATATGAAAAACCCCCATACAGATAGTTTTCAAACTAGTGAAAAATTAGTGATAAATAGAAATCTATTGTTTTCTAATGCAGAGAAAATCCTATTTCTTTCCTTGCACCAAGGCTGAAGTCAGCAACAGTATTACCAGGGAGGACGGTAACAGGCGGTAGATTAAAGTTGGATAGTTGAAGTAACCACCAACACCAGCCATCCAACCCACAGCAAATATTGCTGCCTTGAGGCCTGGCAAACTGCCTCTACTTTGAATGTTGATTTTGTTTTTTTTCATAGTGGTTTAGAAGCTGTTTAATAAGCAGCTTGGCCATACATTGTTAAGAATGGGCATGGGAAGAGATTCTTCCATCCAGTTCTAGTCCACCAACGCATGTCTATACAAGCCCAATTTTCCTGCACTCTGGTTGGTATTGGCATTGTCTCCAATGACATTCAAGAGGAAATGTGAAAGGTTCTTAAATTGTTAGAGGAGGAAAAAGAGACATGGTAGAGGTTGGGTCTTTGACATGATAACTGTAGTTATTTGTAGGGTAGAAAGCGTGATGCCAAAATAGGTTTTTTTGTAGTTTTAGGGTTTCTTGGCAGTCACTTCCTCTGTCCTTGAATAAACCTGTTTAAGTTCATAGGTGTTGTGATTTGAGGGGAAGCAGCTAGGGATGGGGTTATGGGTTGGTGAAGTCCCATTCATGCTGTAGTAAAAGAGCGTGCCTGACTCGAAAATCATTTAAAAATACTCATATTGCTGATAAAGATTCTGGCTTTGTACTATATTGTACAGACACATTCTCATGGAAATTCAGAATGTTATCACTGATTTCTTTCTTATTCTTTTCCTTCCCACTCAACATTAATCAGCTCCCACTTTACCGGACTATGAAGGAGTTGATGCATCTCTCAATGAAACTGCTACTACAATAACTGTACTCTTGAGACCAGCACAGGCCAAAGGTGCACCTATCAGGTAAAAAAAAAAAATAAAAAAACCTAAAAAATCAAGAAGAGTTTGGTTTTTAGTTGCATATATGCTGTCTCGCAGTACATAGAGCTGTATATTTCGGAGTGATATTTATTTAACATTACTATTGTTTTTCTTACCTGTACTGAGCTTGCCAACAGATGTGTAATTAAAAAAAACTCTTGGTTTGGCAGGGTTTTTTTGAATCATTCAGCTATCTGTCCTGTTTGATTTAGGTTCCCCAGGACCACCTTCTAACCACTATAATTTAATTTTACTTTCTCACAGCATCTCTGAAATATGAGGTTGAAAGGTGTTTGTCAGAAAATAGATTCGAAAATAACACTTCCTCTCCATTGCTTCAAATCATCTAGTCTGTAGCATATATGTATGATTGGAAAATTGGAAATTGGAAGCTCAGGGGAAATGGTAAAATAATAGTGATGAATACAAACTAGTTGACCTTTTTCTTCTGAGAGTGCTTTTTACTAGGAATCATGTTGCAAGCTATTAAATTTTACTTGGCGTGTCCCATAATCATATTAAAATGTTTCATTTATGTTAACTTTGAAGGGTCTTTCTCTTTCCGCTCTCTGTTGAGAGATAATTTAATTCTGTTTGCAAAGATTAGTCCATATCCTTCTCTTTACTTCTCCTTGTTAGTGTAAAAATTTTGTGATAATATTTGATTCCATTTGTGCTTTACTGATGTGGCTGCATCAGCAATATTCAGGGGCAGGGTTGACTAATTGGGGGTTAATTAGCTGCTGAGCATCAGAAGGTTTTCTTGCTATTACCCTTGTGACATTTTAGAGAAATGCAGGCTAATGCATTTCATTCTGTGTTATGTTAAGTCAGTTATCGTGGCTCAGCTGATTTCAAGTCATGTGTCCAAGCCCTGAAAGCAGAGGAAAATTAACTGTTTCTTAAGTCAGTTTCCATTAAGAAGAATGTATGTTTTACGTGGATGTTGTGAGGATGAGGCATGTATTTATTTATAAGCATTTCTATGTGCTTATCGTATAGTCACTCTTATGCTCGATATGATCAAGTTATTTATTTATATTCTGTCATAGAAGATAATTATTATCTTTAATTATAATAAACTTAATTATTTCCTATTAAGTTCATCCCTTTAATAGGAGATTTTGATGTGTTATATTTAAGTTGTAATCCAATGCATCATTAGTTTCTGAAAGATTGCCCTGGGGCAATCCTAGGATTTTTGGGGAACAGGAATACTTTCAGTACCAGACTTGGATTCTTAAAATAGGGATTTTATTTTTTAATTAATACATTAATTAAGACAGAAACCAAAATTGTGATCTGAAAATGCTCCCAAGTTACACAGGCGCTTAAACTCACTATACGTCTTTGTAGGTGCTTTTAAAGACTTTGTATACAAAGTCTTTGTAGGTGCTTTTAAAGACTTCAGGTGCCCTGCTGCTGGCCTTCAACAAAGCTGTGTATTTTGGGGAAATGTGATATCTATCTCATGTAATCCATGTCACATCCTTTCAGTCTTGTGTCTGGTCACCTGAGGGAGCTGATGCATATCCTTGCCCAGAGCATGCCTGCTGGACTCCACAGGGATGTGCTGATGGTGGTGATGCACTGCTCTGGGGCACATATGTGCCAACAGCAGCAGGCTTCCACCTTCAGTCCCACCACTCACCCAGAGAGGGTCAATCTTGAATCTTGGGTTTCTGTCCTGGAGTGGGATGGTTCCTTTGTGAACTGGTAGCATGATGGGTTTTGGCTAGAGAGTTACTCTCCGTAGCTTAAGGAGTTCTGGTTTCTCTGCATTGTGCTGGCAGACAAGTAACTTGCTGCAGAATAAATCTGCAGCACACCAGCTCACATTTATTGTCTCAATTTTCCTTACAGCATCCTCAGTTCAATGGCATGAGCTGGTCACTGTGGACTATGAAGGTGGCAGAAAGGATCTATGTACTAAATGTTATAGTTTGATAGGGATAGTTTCATAGAGTATTAATAACTGTTGTTTGACTGTGTTCTCAAAAAAGCCTATGTCTTTCTTCCTGTCTGACATCTTCCCTGTCCACTTCATTTAATTTCTGAAATCTAAGATATTACATCAAATTTCTAACACGAAGAGGTCAAGGAAGTCCATTACCATAACTGGAGAGCTGGGCTTTATCCTTAAAGCAAACCAGGTGTTTTATTCCTTACTTGGAATGAAAAACATTCTTCAGGGAAATGCAGAAGACATGCTCCTATTCCCTTTTCTGAAGTTATGCGTATTACAGTCAGGTATTTTTCAGCAGCTTCTTAATAGGCAGATAAATGTAGCACACTGAAATTCTGAATTGATTCAATGCAATTTGCTAAACTTTATGATGTGTTTTAGTGAAGCTTCACTCCATCCACATTGCAGTTGTGTTTCCTCTACAAGCTGGCTTGCTGCCATAATGAGTGTTACTAGGTAGGTGGGGAAAAAAAATGTATCACTATGCCTGCAGCTGTGATTCAGTAGAAGGGACTCAAATACTGTTCTTTAGACACTGAAGAATACGGTTGGCTTTTTGAAAAGGTCTGTTTATAACCAATCCTGTAATCACTGGAGCTGTAGATGCTCATTTTATCTAATACCAGTAGGTTCACATTTAAAAAAATAGGAAAAGAAAAAAAAATAGGAAAAGGAAAAAAAGCTCAGTCTGATACTCTGTTGCTTTTACAAGCAGAATTATGCTATGATCTGATTTCCATCACAACCTCTCCATCAGGACAGGCCCTCAGGAAATAGGTGTTCCTTAACTTGGTATAATCTATGTGTGGCTGTCAGTCATTTCTTTAAGATGCTAGCTGCTGTAGTCATCACAGTTTAAACATGACTCTAATCATATCTTCCCTGTCAAGTGTTATTATCATTCTTTATGGCCTCCTTAAGTTTTAGACCAAATTACAAACTAGAAATGCAAAGGGAAACAGGGCTGGATGGCTCAAGCTCACTTTGAAGCACGTATTGTTTTCACCATCAATCTCGTGGATGAGATTCCAGTCAGTAGAATCAATGGTGCTTCAGTGATTCGTTTGAAGATGTGATTTGTTGCTGTATTTTTTCTGAAGGTTCCTAACTGAGTACCAGGAACACAATGTTTTGTTTTCAAATTCTACTGCAGATGAGGATTACGAAGAGCATAAATCAGAATCATAGTAAACAACTTTTTAATTATTAAATTTATTTGATTTGATTGTTATAGTATTGCTCTTATATCTTATGTAAAATTACATTGTTTTCATTTTGCAGCAAAACTAATTAAGTGGACCACAGCAGGGAGTAGTTAAAATTTTGCTGTCAATTAGAATTCCAAGAGCTGGGGTTGAAGTTTGGGCTGTCAGTAAGTCTGGCACTTGTCAAAGGAGAGGAAGCTGTGTCTCCCCTAGACACACAGAAGGAAATGTCTAGCTGGTATTTAAAGTCTAGTCAGAATAGGGCTGAAGGATGAACAACATGTTATCCACTGCCATACCTCTTTGGAAGCCTGAACTTTTAGGGAGAGATGAAAAGGAAAATCAGTTGTCAGGGACCTCCTTCAGCTGTTTCTAATCATCTTGGTCTATAGGGAGGTACTGTAGAGGTTTTCTTAAGTTAAAAAAAAATAAAAAAAATTTTTTGACATGAAAAATACTTTCTTCATGGAAAACCTCAGCTGAGGAGCTCTTCAACTGCTGTATCTTCAACATTTTCTCTATTTACCTGGCTGTCTCAGGCACCTGTTTGGTCTTTATGATCCTGATGACTTATGTAGCGGGTTCTGAAATTTTTATTACTCAGAATTTTTTTTAGTCAACAAAGAGAAGGAATATTGTCATTTAAGATTTTCACTCTTCTCTCTTTGTTTCCCTTTTTTATTCCTTCTTTGCTGTATGGAAAGACTGGGAGAAAAATGCTGTTGTAGGACTTCCCTCAGCTCCAGTCACAAGAAAGCTCTCTCAATAACTGAATGTGTAGAAATGTGTAGAAAAAATAATGCATTAAAAACCTAAGATGATTGAAGCTAGGATTAGTAATATGTAAAGATACAAGGATAAGCAGAGTATGTAGCCTTTAAAGTTTCACTATTAGCCTGATATCAGACCACATTTGCAGTCATTGAACGCTCCACTTTTCAAGTTGCAAATTTAACTTTGAGTTCTTTCTTCACATGTTACAGCGGGCTGTCCTTTCCAAATATTATGCGTACATAGAGTAACAGTAACTTTGGAGCCACTATAGTGTTTAGTAAATGAGTTTAAGCAGATGGTATCACAAAGGGCCCAGAGGTAAATGACTGTATTCCTCCATGCCTTGTTAGCCTATAATGTTGTATGAAAAATACTGCCAGATCCCTTTCCCAAAGAGGATAGGCAAATCTTTTATTTAAAAAATACTTTGTGAAAATAAATTTTAAAAAAATTAAAATAAAGCCTTGTTGGAGACTTGAAAGAGTTTCTGTAATTTACTCTTCTTTCTTTAAAAGTAATTATGTAGATGCAGATGATTACAATGTGTGTATCAATTTCTTATTTTCCACCTTTTGTTGCTTTTCAGATGTAGGGGTCCAAAAAGCATTACTTTTGGAAGTCTATTTTATATAAATTAATTTATTTTAAAAATTTTCAGAACTTTCACATTTTATTGTGGTCTCATGCTTAAAATTATGCCATACCTTTTATATCACATTCGAAAATTACAGTATGTTTTAAAAGAATGCTATTAAAAAAGACTTTTTTAATATTTGACTGTCATGCCATTCATCTTTGACTTTTTATTTGTTTTGGTCTCCAAAGAGGCTTGACCCTTGAAAAGGAGATGTGCCCTAAGAAGAAGATACCTCATTTATCCCTTATTCTATAAAATTGAGAGGGAAGGAGGGTTTGGTCACTGGTGCATCTCAGCTACAGAGCTGCGTGACAAACCAGGCTGTTTCAGGAGACGGTTGCCTCCACCACATGCAGGCGTCGCACTGTCCTTCCTCTCTCCCTGCTGCCTTCCTTCTCTGAAGCTGGCAAGGTGTCATGGACAAGTTTCCTGCTCTCCTGGCACTTCTGAGGGCAGAATTTGTGTTGGTCCCAGTCCATTGGCAGCTGATGTGAGAAGAATGCAGAATGGAGGGAGCAGAGACATGGTATCTGTGTCCCAGTGATCTCCAGTTGGTTGTCTGCCCAATTCCGGAATGGTGGTTTTAACCCTTCCTGGGTCCAGGACCAGGCCAGAGATGGAATGAACACCGGTAGTAATTTCTTACCTTTGGACATTATAAATAAAAATTTTAAAAATATTTTACATCCTCTCCATTTTGTAAAATATTGATGCTTTTAGGGTTTTTTTTGCTAATACATTGATTTTGAACCATAAAGAAATATTCTGGGTGTGCAGGGGTCTTTTGCAACTGATTTGTTGGTGCAGTCCACATTAACTGAAAATTATTAATATAGAGAGTTTACCACAGAAGGTGATATATAACCAAGCTCAGTTCACAGACAGTTTGTGAGAAATAGATATTCCCAGAACTAACTATTTTTTATTTTTTTTTCACATTCTTCTTTCTCCTGGAGTTTCAAAACTGGGGTGACTTTTTATATTCCTCTTGGACACTTTGAAAGGGAAGAAAGAGGCATTCCTCCTTAATTTTTTAGGTGCAATGAAAATGGGATGCTAACCGCTCAAGAAAGATGTGAAATTAATTTCCTACTTTTTTTCTTCTCTCCTTTCTTCCATTCCCCAGTATCATACTTTATCTCTGCCACTGTAGTTATTGGGTTTTCTGGGCAGTAGTAGCAGAGAAAATTGACAAAATAATTTAATGCTGCACCAAAGTAGGATTGTCTTTGCCTTTGCCTTTTGGAGTCCTTGCAGCAATGCAGTGACACTTCTAAAACTTAGTTCAATTTTACTTTTTCTGTTTAGAAAGCCTTAAAACAAACCCAAGACAGTTTAATTGAAAAACTTCAGGTCTTGTCTATATGCCTAGGCGTATTTTCTTACTATTTTTTGTAAAGTCCTCACATGTATCTGCATAAAAAATGAGAAATTGTGTGCACATATACACATGTATATATGTGTGTATATATAGTTCTTAAAACCCCCCAAGTCTCTTTTTTTTCTTATAAAATGAAGAACTACCTCCTGCTCTCAGTAGCTAAGTTCTGTACTTCTGAAGAGCAGAGGAAGCTGCTAATAAGTTGGTAACATTCTGCAGTTGGCTAGTTCCCCTAAAGAGGACCCGTGGTGGTCTAGTGGTTAGGATGCGGCGCTCTCACCACCGTGGCCTTGGGTTCGATTCCCAGTCAGGGAATTCCTCCGGGCATATGGAGCTTGTCAGCCCTGTAAGGCCATCCATCTAAGAGAAGGTCACTCTAAAAAACAAACCTACATCCTGAGGACCTCGCTGCCACCGTCCGAGCTCGCTCGGCCCCGGCAGATGAACCTCAGGATTAAAGGGTGGGCTCAGTTCAGCGCACACTGGGTCTCACCTAAAAAATCCACTGCGCAGGCTCGAAGGGTAAAGACCTTTCCCAAATCTTCATTCGTGAAGACTGACCATGATGAGTTCCCCTAAAGGAGAAAGAATTATAATTACATGTTCTATTTTGAACAGGTGATTTTGAAAAGTGACCAAGCCATATTCCACTTCAAGAGAGGTATTGGGAGGTTGGGATGCTGTTTTGATAGGCCAAATGGTGTCTGCTTCAGCAATTTGTAGCATTTTATCATTGACAACTGTAGAGGAATGAGGCAGCCTATTTTGGTGGAATGGACAGATTTCTGTCCATCTGTGCTTGTATTACAGCATGTCACTTGTACTTTAGATCTGCATAGCTCTGAGCCAAGATAGAAGCCACAGCAAGGTCAGGAGGTGGAGAAGCCTGTCAGCACATTCTGTCTCTAATGATATGACAACTGCAAATTGGTGCTTCAGGAACAGCCTGGAGGCAGTCATTATGTTGGGTCTTGAAGCTCAGCTTTCTCTAATACTGTTTCAAAGGAAAATGCTAACTTCAGATGCTTCTGATCAGCCAGGAGTTTAATCTGTTGTAGTTTAACACAGTTACTTGCCGCGGTCCAAACGGGGGATGGGACCGTGGCACAGCACGGGTCCGGGACATAAGGTAGGGTGCAAGTAGAATGCTTTATTGAGGTGTGCGCAGGATTCCTTATCAGTTCAGGCAGGGAAAGGACCAGAACATAGGGTGGGGTATGAGACAGACAAATGGGGAAGCAAATCAGGATAGGGTCACAGGCAAAAGAGGGAGGAACGTGGGAGGAACCGGGGAGAGAAGGGGCGAATGGAGGCTTTCTCCTCTCTGCAGCTTCTCCAGCCAATCCGCAGGAAAGCAGGGAAGCAGACAAGCCTGAACATGCCCGGGAAGTACAAATTCTGGGGAAGCATACAATGTGTATATACATAATAACTGTAAAGTCTGTATCATAAAGTCCTTTCAATCACTGTACATCTTTTTCCACTTCTGAAATTTTCCCCATTCTGATTCCTGGTCCTTCACAGTTACTCTGTGTTTCTTCAAAAAATAGTCTAAAAAAAAATAGGAGATCATGTATAGAATTGTATTGTTGTTTTTCATGAAAAAAAATGGGTGGTGCTTCTTTCTAACAGCTGAAATGGATGGCTCTGCTATATTTCAAGCCTTTATTTTTTCTCTGCATCCATGTATCTCCTGTCTTTTGCTTTTTTCCCTTCTTTCTTTTAAGTTTACACAGATCAATTCAGTTAATATTTTTATGATACTAGAGATTTGACTCTAGCAGATGACCTTAAAATTATGCTGTTTTTCCTCTGTCTCACCAGTGCCTACCAGATTGTTGTTGAGGAGCTGCACCCGCACCGAACAAAGCGAGAAACAGGTGCCATGGAGTGCTACCAAATCCCTATCACCTATCAGACTGCTCTTAGCGGAGGGTCACCATATTACTTTGCTGCTCAGCTGCCTCCAGGAAACCTGCCAGAGCCAGCCCCTTTTACCGTGGGTGACAACAGGACTTACCAAGGTTTCTGGAACCCACCATTGGCTCCTCGGAAAGGCTACAACATCTATTTCCAGGCCATGAGCAGTGTTGAGAAGGTAAGTGCTAACACCACCTTTCTTCTGGAAGGAGTCAAAGACATGCCTGTGGTGGCAATTAGGGCCGTTGGAGTTGGACATAGGAGGTGTTGGCAGTGGCATAGCTGTAATCCTCTCTGCAGTGAGAGCGTGGCAGTGCACCATTCACATTTCACATCACCATCATGTCCTAGTAAATTGCTTAGATGAGAGTTTAATACGTCTCCTAGTAATTGTCTGAGGAAAGTAATTTCAGTGTTGTGACTCTGTCTCCTCGGTAAATAATATCCTCAGTCCTTTCTCTAATTCTCAATCCTTGCACACTTCAGAAGATTAAATTACTGCAGGACGAACAGAATGTGGGCTGTTCAACGGGCTAGTAAAACATTGCTAACTTTGTGAGACTCTTGCACTGAACGTCTAAAAAGTAAAAGTTTGCTTGAGCAAAACTCCAGGCCCACTGTGTGTTTGCAAGAGTCTTTTTGAGAAGGTGTACGTCAGACTTGCACCACTGCTGTGCAGTAGTAGAAGTGTATCTGTCGCCTCCTTGGTGTTTCTTTTTACCTCTGTTACTGAGTACTGCTGCTGGCTCTGTATTCATATGGAAGGACTAAAAGTGCCAGGGAGAGAGGTTCTAGGTGGGAAGAACAACTCTGCAAGCCCCATGGTGTTGCTCTTTAATGGTTTTTCCTTTTGTAAATGAAAAATAAGGAAAGGGAAAATGACTGGTGAGGAGGGAAAATGTGGTACACACATAAGCTTTAGATATTTAAAAATTTAAAATTTTGGTTTATAGTATAGAAAACTGAAGTGTCCAGGCAGGTCAGAAAGGAACTAGAAAGGACAACTAGATTGATAGCCACTGATACGCACCCGAACCTTTGGAAAGGAGCAGAAGCAGTGTTTACCCTTCTTTACATTTAGGTTTTTGTGGAGACTAAACAAATCCTTGCTAACAGGCAGCCTTGCCTTGGAGTCTTTCAAAGAAAATTTAACCTTTTACTTATGGTTATGGAAATTGGATATGCATCAAGTGAGAATAGGGACAAAGCTGTTTGAGAATTAGATGTTTTTTTCTGATTTAAGAGACCATTCCCTCTTTTTAGTCCTTATCTATAGACCTGTATGAAGTAAACAAAACAAAATAAAAGGTGACTGCTAGACACTCATCCGTATTTTCCTCACCTGTTAAAAATAATTCCCTTTGTTTTTGTAGGCTTTCAGCAGACTATGTTGTAAGGAAATTTGTTTCATTACCCAAGAAATAAGGGAGAGGGAAAAGTAAAGTAGAAATACTAAATAAAAAAAGTAGGTCTCAATTTTGGCTTTTATGTTTTGACAGATAAGTAGAAGCTGAGAGAAGAATAGAATTTTTTTTGCTTAAACTTGATTTCAGTTTGTGAGAGAGTTTAATACTAAAATGGATTTCTCTGTTATTATTTAAAACTTTGGATCCAATTTCTGTTCTTAAAGGGATTTAGGGGGAAATTTTGAGGGGGACTGCACCACATTCTGCTGGGACAGAGACCTAGTGGTTGTAACATAACCTCTGAGCTGCAGAATATTTAAACAGATGCTTTACTATAAACTACCAGGATCACCAAAATAGGCAGAGGGAAGTAGAGTATGCTCTGAAATACACGGTAGGGTTGAGAGGAGGGTTACTCTGTGATCCTGGAAGATGTTGAACAAAAGTGGGCAAGTAAATCCAGTAACTGGGGATAATAAGTAGGATTATATTTGGTAAACTTTGTGGGGCTTTCATATAGATGGAAAAATTGTCTTTATGGAACACTTACAGTGCCTCAGCTTAGGCGCTGTAGAGCTCTTTACAAGCTGTGTTTACAAACCAGCATCAACCTGTTTTTTTTACCTGTTGCTTTGGAATCTTCAAGATGAGAGAGATCCCAGGGGATTTATTCAGGGATGAAGTGCTGGGAGGTGCACAACTAGAGAGAGGATATTTTATAGAGTGAAACTGTCATTATTATATTTTCAAATTACATGCTAATATTGTTTAGAGAAATCTAATACAACAGCAGTTGTATCGTCTCATGCAACCTTATGCTATTTCAGTATTTTTACCTTTAAAATTACTGCACATTGTACAAAAAGGTCAGAAAACCCATTTATGGCTGACTCTCAGCTCTTCAAGTTGTCCAAACTGGGCATAACTGAGTAATTTCTCTGTTCATTTGTTTTAATTGCTGAACAAACTTCTGAGGGGAAGGGAGGGAAAAGTACAGTTACATAAAAATTGTCTTTGCATGTGCAACTTCTGAAGCACATCGCTGTTGAATCACTGTGTCTCCTAGGCAGATTGTGTAAGTTTTAGATTAACTGTGTCATCTGTGAAGGGATACCTGGGCTGCTCTGTGCTCATTCCACATGCAGAAGCATGGGGGGGAGTGTGTTGCTGATGTGCTTCAGGTGACTGTTTAAGAATGTCAGAAGGTAGCAAGATGTAAGTTTGGAGACAGTGCTGAGCAAAAGTATCTTTTTTGCTGCACAGTGCTGTTGGAGGTCAACACTGGCTCAGGATTTCTGTGCCATGACATAAATAGGAGCACCAGTCCTCCCATTTCCTTCCGCTGCACTCTCTCTTCGTGTTCTTATGGCATGATTTCCATTTGATTTGAATAATCTGAAATTTTTCTGTGTTTGGCCTGTCCTGCACCTTTTCTCCCCATCATTTTTCCTGGACAGTACAGTCCAATGTCTAGTTTTCATCCAGCTTTTGTAAAAGCAAAATCCCCCAACCTCCTTCTCTGCTAAGCCCAGAGCCCTGAGCCACCTCACTGAGTTGTCCCAACGTGATCAGTAGATCTAGGATGAATCTATGGAGTGGAGAGGGCAAGAAAAAGCAACCTGATTTGACTGTTTTCTTTACTTTTCTGTCCTCAACAGGAAACCAAAACTCAGTGTGTTCGAATAGCTACAAAAGGTAAGAGGTTTGTCCCCACATGCAAAGTAGCTTTTTTTAATGAAACGTGGTGTTTCTATTAAATGTTTGAAGCAAAGCCAATAGTATCCCTCTATTTTGAACCACCTGATTGTCTTAAGATGTAATGGTCTACTACTTTTTATTCTTTGGTATTGGGCCAAGACAGTACTGTTCCAGCAATACTCAGAATTTAGGACAAAATAAAATCTCCTCTTTTTTTCCCCCTGCCTGTCTGTGATTTTCAAGATATGCTTTTAGGGTGCTGAAGCATTTCAGGCAGCAGATAGATGGATGGGAATCTGGAAAGTGCACGTGGTTAAACTGTCTGTTATGCTGGCAATTATTTACAAGCAGGGGAGGGAATAATTTAAATGAAGGACACGACAGTTAATTTTCCTAGGTAAGAGCTCCAAGTGTTAGCTAGACATAGGGGAGGGTTGATTTGAGGAAGGTTTGTCTCTTTGATAGCAAGTGAGTTCCAGGTCTAGGACTGGCTGCGTAGCTGTGAGAATAAATCATGTTGACCCCATGTACAGCAGGTTAATCACATACTGCTCACTCAGAAACACTGTTTCATCTTCAAATGAGGACTTAGTTGTTCTGCTTATTGTTATCTGTCGCTTTGACTGTATTTATAGCCATTCGTTTTGGTGGCTCGATCGTGTGGACATGAGAGTTGTTTGATAGACTCTGGCAGCATAAACAAGAAAGGAGCTTACAAATGCCCGAAGAGTACTCTGCAGAGGCCCAGCACTTACATTGTCTCTTTCTAATTGCATATTGATATTTAGCCTAAAAACAACTTTTTATATGAGCAAGCAGGCATTTAAAGTACTGAGGAGGCAAATCAGTCCCATTTTTCAGTAACTTTTTTCAATTTAAATCTTATTCCAATTACAAGCTGATGCCTGTAATGAGGTGGTAGCAATCAAACATTTTCTTGAGAAACCAGAAAATAAAATGTACTTCTCAAGATGTGTTAATATTTTTATCAAGTGTGGTAAGCTAATAAAAACAGGAAATTAAAACCATGAGCTAAGTCTTCTGTGAAAGGTATATCAGCCTTATTTTTCTTATGTTTACCTGATATGATTAAATGGTTGAATTAAAATATATTTGCATAAACAAATATTTATGTACCACAAGCATGTATTGCTAGAATTTGAGTCAAGGGAGAGTCTTGAAAGGCTCAGAAATAACCTAAAATATTGCAGGACTGAGGAAGGGGAAAGCAATGGTGTCTCTCATAATAAATTTTCTGGATAGTAATAACAAAACAAGGAGGGAATTGACTTTAGTATAAGAAAACTATTTTTTACTTAATCATACACAGTCCATGGATCTCAAAGCAATGTTCATGGTAGCAATAGACCTCTTGGTGGTTGCTTGTACACCTTCCTCTGCTTACAATAGTCACATTCACCCGCAATGACTGTCGATTGAAGGAAAGGGGAAATGAGTAACAGGTTTCTCACCATTGTGCCATATATCCTGCCTTTACCACTGATTGAAGACAGTTTCTTATGTAAGTGCATTGCCTGATATATCAGTGCGAAACTCCTTGAAAGTGGAACTAAAACCCAAAATGTTTTCTGTGACTTATTTTACTTTGTAGGTGTGAGTTGCAGGTGGAGGCAACATTAGGAGTAAATGCTTTCTCTTCCTCTGACGGAATTCATTTAATGGGGCATCATCACTGCAAAGTCATGTACATTCATACTTCTCAAATGAGTTATACTGTTATTCTAAAACATTTTTTATGAGCTCACACTGATTTTTTCCCCCATGTTTTCATCGTAATAATAATACCATGATTTGTTGTACTCAAAGAAAACTATACTTAATATATTGGTTTATGCATATGTTCATCTGGTTATCCTGATTTGTTTTGGTTTCTTGGTTTTTTGTGGGTTTTTTGTTTGTTTGTTTGTTTTGTAGTGTATAAGATCATTTTGAATCATTGACCTAAATGTCTGGTTACATTTGTAATATTTTCATAGGGAAAAGAGGACTGTCTCGTCTTACCTAATGCACTCCACTAAAGCTAACATACCCATTTAAAATCAAAAAAATTGTCTAAACTATGTATTCTGTTATAAAAGTAATGTGTTATCTCCTGTGACTTGAAGCAGCCTACAGTTTGCCAGACTGAATTTTGTCTTGAACATGTTGAAAAGGCATTAAAAATTATAAAATGCTGGGGTGGAAGAGAGCAGGGAGGAACAACATTAAAGACAATGTTTAAACAAGACAAAATTTCCCTGGTAGTGAAGTTCAGTGTTACTGTCAAAGTTAGTTTCTCATCTCTATCTTGTTCAAGGATCTGGTGTTATCTACTGTGTATATTCATAGCAATAAGATGTAAAGGTGGAAAAAATATGATAGTAATACCATGGTTTGGTGCTGGAGAAGTTCATATTCCTGCAGTTGTAATCTTGATAATTTAACTTTCTTAGGTCTGTTGTTTCGTTGCTTGGACAGTTTTTCGTTTGCTTGGACAGTTCCCTGTATAATTTACATATATTTTACTGCATAAGGGATCTCGCACGTATCGTTCCCATGGGTTGGCTTTTGCCTTCAGAAATTGATGGAATAGTTTATTGGTGTCAAACTAATGAAAGTCAGCAAATTTAAATTGAAGTGCTCATACTTTTTGTAGTCTGTATATTCCAGGTGCAGTGTTCTCATGCACTTCTGATAACAACGTGCACTGAAGTGTCAAGTCACATAAAAGATGGTGCCGAATCATGACTAAAGTATGTTGCTGCTTTTGATGTGTCTTGAAAGAATGTTTTTAGAGTAAACTGAGAGGCTTACTAGTGTGTGGTATATTAAAATACACTGAGTTAAGTTTTCATTATAGAAAATAGCGGAACAGCATCGGTTTAAAAAGTAGTCTTCCGAGCTGTTCCTGTGTACTTGCAGCTGAAGGATAAATGCCTGAGTGATTCTTTGATGGCCCTGATTTAGGCTAATAATAGAATTCCCCCTTTTTATGGACACCTACTTCCACAACGCTTTTAAGAGTTTAATGACCCTGACTTTTGCCCTTCTGTAGATTGGAGTGAATTGGCCAGGACAGTCCCAAGTAATTAGATGTGAGAGAGTATGCAAGTTATACAGATGTACACAGTCTGTTCATATAAGCTTTGATTCTTGAGGAAACCAGGTTAAAAATAATTCCTTGTGTCACAGATGATGATGAGTAGACTATACCTAAAGCACCATTTCCATTACAGGTATAGCCCAGAAAATGTATTAAGTGTGAATGATTTTAATTTCTTGGACACTTTTAACTGATACTGCCTTACTCCATCAACCTGAACCCTCTCCTCATTCAGAGCCTCTTAGTAGCTCATGATCGGCATACTTTTTATTTTTTAACACCACTTCATTGTTCTCTACCTCATTATTTTTGAATCTATGTAGTAGGATTACCCAGTCACTAATAATCTGGTTTCCCATACATAGTAACTGAAGAAGAAGGAAAAATAATAATCTTGTTTTCTGAAGAGCAGAGAAGAGTACAGAGACTGAGATAATAGGTCAGATTTTCATTAGGAATGGAAAGATGGAATTATTCTAGAAAATATGTTATTTGATTTTTTAAAAAAAGTGTTACATATAATTTCCTAAAGAAAGTTCTTGAACTTTCTAATACTGACTTAGTAAGGCAGAGTTCAACTATGGAATCATAGAATTGTTAAGGTTGCAAAATGCCTCTAAGATCATGAAGTCCAACAGTCAACCTAACACCACCACGATGTTCACCACTAAACCATGTTCATAGGTGCCATATCCACGTTTTTTAAGTGCTTCCAGGGATGGTGACTCCACCACTTCCATGGGCATTCTGTTCCAATGCTTTACACCCTTTTCATGAACAAATTTTTCCTAATATCTAACCTAAACTCCTTCTGCCGCAACTTGAGGTCATTAACTAGTTCATAATATGCACGTGTCAGAATGAAAACCTGCCTAACCAAAGTATTGATAGACTGAAGTAAATAAAAGATATATGCACTTCAGAGTAATACACGTTGGTGACTGATCAGTCATATCCTGGAGTTGAGTTTGACTGTATAAAATTTTGAACGGGTTTCCACTCACACCCAGGCATTGGCATTTCATTTTACAGTCTAAAATGTTATCGACTGCTCAGGGAATGAAACTAGATTAACGTGGTCAGAGAAGAGTGATGCTTCAAACTAGCATGTAAATAGATATTTAAGAGGACAGAGGGGACAGCAGAGCTATTACTAAACAGAGTATATGAAGCTGACATTTGTGACAGTTTTCAGGCTGCCAATTTTGAGGCTAATACTATTCTTTTGTTTTGTTTAGTGGACTAGAGAAACACTTTGAAAATTTAATTAGAAGAAATATACTGTGGGAATAAAGAAGTGGTGGGTGGTGGGCCTGGCAGCTCTATCACAAAGTAGTTAGAGGGAATAAATGAAGCCCAAGGTTTCTCTTTCCACATTTAAAACAAGAACTTCGTCAACTCCAACATTATTTTCCCTTGTGGTTTTCATTTGTGTTGTTAGTTCAGGCAGAATAGAACCTCTCTATCTCTGTGCACATTTGGTTCATACAGACGGATGAAAATGCCGTTTGAGATGATGCACATCTGGAAGTAATTGTGAAATAGCAGAAAATGACTTTTTAATCTGATTTGAGGAATAAAAAGGTCTGGGTGGTAACATTTCTACTGCAAGTGTGTATTTAGTCCACCATCATTATTGCTCTGAATTCATTCCCACAGCAGTTGGGAATTGATCCAAAGGCCTTTGATGTCAATGGGAGTCCTTCCACTGACATTAATGTGCTTTGGATTAGGTCTTTAGAAGTCATAAATCTGTCTAGACTGTAATTATTTCTTTGAAATTGTTCCTGATGGTGTTTCTGCTCTTAGGGAAATTTGTGAAAGTCAAATCACCTCCTCTTGCAGGATGCTCAAAAATGTCTGTTACTGATTAATGCACAAATGAAGGGAAGAT